CATATATATGTATGTATGTATGTATGTTACATAAATACACACTGGAGCAAAAGACAGCATCTTCAACATTTGGTGCTTGTCAAACTGGATGTCTGCAGGTAGAAGAATACAAGCAGATCTATACATATTATCCTGCAGAAAACTCAACTCCAAATGGATCAAAGACCTCAGCATAAAACCAGATTTCTTTCTCAGTCTGTTTACCATCTGAAGGTTGCTGTTTTTTTGTGTGTGGGTTTTGCAAAGTGTTTCTTTGATGAGCACATTTATCAGCTGGAAAACTTTACTGGTAAAATATTTAGGTGCTTTAAATGGTATCATCTGAAAATAAGGATACTTTAACATCTTCCATTTCTACTTGTGTCCTTTTTATTTTCTTCAGTTTTCATATTGCTCTAGATAAGACTTGATGTCCTGTATTGACTAGGTATTGAGAGAGTAGACATCCTTGTCTTGTTCTTAAATTTAGTGGGAATGCTTTGAGTTTCTGTCCTTTTAGTTTGATGTTGGCTGTTGGCTTGCTGTGAATTGTCTTATTATGCTGTGATATCTCTTGTTTCCTAGTCTGTCCAGACCTTCTATCAAGAAGGGATGTTGGATTTTTGTCCAAGGCCTTTTCTGCATACAATGAAATGATCATGTGATTTTTATCTTTTAGTCTGTTCACATGGTAGGTTATGTTTATTGATTTACACATATTGAACCATACATACATATCTGGGTTGAAGCCAACTTGGTCGTGGTCAATAATCTTTTTTATGTATTCTTGGATCTAGTTTCTGAGTATTTTATTGAGAATTTTTTTAAACTGTGTTCATAAAGGTTTTTGGCCAGTAAATTTCTTTTCCCATTGACCCTTTTTGTGGTCTTGATATTTGAGTAACAACAGATTCATAAAAGGAATTAGTAGATGCTGTTTGATTTTCCACTTTGCAGATTTGAGGAGTATTAATGGTAGCTCTTCTATGGAGATCTGGTAAAAGTCTTTACTGATATGACCCTGGGATTTTGGGGGCTTGGGAGATTTTCAATTACCGCTTCTGTTTCTCTAGGGGTTATGGGTCTGTTTAAATTGTTTTATAAATCTTGTTAAATTTAGAATTCATACGTATCAAAGAATTCATCCATTTCTTGTAGGCTTTCCAGTTTGGTGGAATACAGATTTTCAAAGTATATTCTTGCCATTCTTTGAATTTTGTCAGTATCTGCTGCAATGCCTCCCTTCACAGCTCTAATTTTATTAATTTCCTCCTACCCTCTAGCTTCCTTTTTTTAATTTGGCTAAATGATTGTAAATTTTGTTGATTTTCTCAAAGAAGTAACTCTTTTTTTAATTGATTCTCTGTAATGCTTTTATTGCATCTGTTTCATTGAGTCCAACCCTGACTTTGATTATTTCTGTCTGTCTACCCCCTTTGAGTACTATTATCCTGTTTGCTTTTCTAGAGCTTTCAAATTATTAATATGATATCTTTCCAGTTTTTGATGTAGATACTTAGTGCTATGTACTTGGCTCTTAGACCTGCATTCATTGTTTCTCATGGATTTTGTTATGTTGTATTTTTATTTTAATTCTATTATAAAAAGTGTTTAATTTCCTTCTTGATTTCTGTTTTGACCCAGTTTTCTTTCAGTAGAGAGTAGATTAGCTTCCATGAGTTTGTATGCTTCCTGTTGTTTTTATTGTTGATGTACAGTGTTAGTAGATGTGTTACTTGAATTTTCCTCTATCTAATAATACTTGTTTTGTATTCCAATATGTGGTAAATTTTGGAGAAAATTCAAAGGACTTCTAAGAAAAAGGTATGTTCTTTAGTGTTTGACTGTAATGTTCTATAGATGTCTGTTAGGTCCATTTGATTTATAAGGTTATTTTGCTCCCAAGTTTCTCTGTTTTTGTTTATTTATTTTTGATTTGTTTTGATGACCTGTCTATCGGTGAGACTGGCATATTGAAGACACCCACTATCATTGTGCTAAGCTCAAAATATGATTTTACCTAAAGTGGTGTTTCTTTTATGAAATAGAATATTATTATGTCTGGTACACACATGTTAAGACTTGCAGTATTTTCTTGTTGCTTTGTTTTCCTTTAATGATTATGCAGTATTCTTCCTTTTACTTCTGATTAGTTTTGGCTCAAAGTCTGTTTTATCTAATATTAAAGTAGCTACTCTTCCCTGTTTGCTTCTTGGTTCCATTTACTTAGAATATATCTTTCCATTTTTCTATCCCAAATTGATGTCTGTCTTTGATGGTGGAATATGTTTCTTGGATGCAGCAAAAAGATAGATCTTTATTTCTAATCTAATCTGTTAGTCTGTGTCTTTTTACTGGAGGAATAGAGACCATTAATATTGATAGTCATTGTCAAAATGTATTTATTAATTCCTGTTATTTTGTTACATTGGATTTTCCCCCATCTTTTGATTAACTGTTCCTGGATTATTTATTTCTTGTTTCCTCTTTGGTGTATTAACCCTTTAAATGTAAGGTTTTCTCGTAGTGTCTTCTGTAGAACTGCATGAGTAGAGAGAAATAGTTAAAACATGTTTTTATCATGAAATGTTTTCTTTCTCTGTAGATTGTGATTGATTTTTGCTGGGAATAGCTGTCTAGCATGACATCTGTGCTTTTCAGAGTTTGTAGAACATTTGCCCAGACACTTCTTTTCAGAGTCTGAATTGAAAAGTAGGTATTATTGTAATAGGTCTGCCTTTATAAGTGACTTCAATTTTTTTGTTTGTTTGTTTGTTTTTACCTTGCAGCTTTTAATAGCCTTTCTTTGTTCTGTACATTTAAGTTTGAATTATTATATACCATGGAAATGTTCTTTTCTGGTCTTGTCTATTTGGTGTTCTGTATGCCTCTTGTACCCTGATAAGCATCTCTTTCTTTACAGCAGCAATTTCTCTATGATTTTATTACAATATTTTCTCTGCCTTTGAACTGGATTCTTCTCCTTCCTCATAATGGAAACTGATAAGAATGCTCCTGGTCTTTCTCTATACTTTAAGTGGCCTTAAGTTTGGGTAGGAGAGAAGTTGAGTCCTTATGTAAGCATCAGGGAGACTGTAGCTTCCTCCAGATCAAAATCATTCACCTTACAGGAAAGCTTGGTAAGACACAGGGTGTTAACAGAAGGATACACGTGGCAAGCCACAAGAATATGTTATAAGGAGTCCAGCTGTGTATTAAAGCTATACCTTGACCATACCAAGGGTCTGTCAAGCGGGAAGCCACTTATCATGAACTATTTGGTGTTACACAGCTTAATATTCAGCTGTCCCTTGTTATGAATTGCTTGTATTTACAATTCCAATAGAATGTGTGTGTGAGCTTCTTTGCTCAGGCCAGTACTTGGATAAGGTAACATAGGCAAAGACAAGCTGGCTGGAGATGCATACCTTTGTTTGTTGTGCAATGAAACTCAGACCATCCCTTTGCCTTGAGGCCTAGTGGCTTTCCAGAGCAATTGAATGAAACAAAAGAGGTTTTTACATATCAAGGTAGAAGGTAGTGTGGAGCAACATTCCAGAGGAGAGAGAGAACCACATGGCAAGGAGAAGAAGACACAGGCATTTTCTGTAGAGGCAGACAGAATGGCATGACCAGGGAGAAGGGAATAACACAGAGGTTTTGTAGATAGTAAGGCAGAAAGCCTGGTAGAGTTCATCAGAGCCAGGAGTTAAGAACAAGTAGAGATGGAGGATGAAGAAACAGAGGACGAAGATGAGGCTGGAAGCATAAGAGCTTAGTTGCTAGCAGGACTATGGGAGGGCAATAAATGAGGGGACAAAAAGAAACTGAGTGTCAGGACAGAACTGAAGCTATGTAGACAGGATTTTATTCCAGAGAAATAAAGTAGATGGATGAAGAGTGTAAGGAACACATGTTAGGCCTAGGATGAACAACCCTGGTCAGGAGTGATAAGCAGTAGAATGACATAAGTAAACCACAAATGAAGTAGTGATAAGGTATAAGCTATGTGTGGAACTAGGGATAAGACTAGAAACCTAGCCAGGAAAGAATATAAAAGATGAAGCCTCAGACCCGACAAAAAGAGCTCATCAGGCCCTCATGTGAGTCAACTCTCCTCCTCCAGAGGCATGAGATCCTGTCCCAAGTGCAGACATGGTTAACCGGAGGAAGGCTGACCCAAGATCCAGAGGAAGGCTGACCCAAGATCCAGAGGAACAGACATGGTGAGTACGGACCTGTACAGCTGGAGAGGTACTCCCACTTCCATTTGGAAGATGGGATGAATATTGCTTGTAATCTTACTGTGTAAATAAATGAGTGTTATATCAATTCTGAATTAAGAGTGATTATTCCTCCCCCGTAACTGGGGTATGTGCTCATTACAAAGAGCTTGGTGTATCTAGATTTATTCCTGTCCTGAATGCCTGACAGAGCTGTAGCTGAATAGATAGAATTTTGTCTAAGAGGAGTGAAGTTAACAGACATAAGAGCATAGTGTACGTAGATTTCTTCCCTCAGATATCCAACACTGGACACAGTGTCTTCCCTGGACTCTGGGCAATCTGTACATGCAGAATAGTAGGATAGTCTCAGAATGGGTGAAATCTCACATTAGGCAAGAACGATCATTAAGATAAAGAAGTAAACAACTTAGAGGCTTCAGGAAGTCCCTGAAACCAGATATAATAGGGTCCTCCATCCCCAAGAATATACACATTGTAAGCAGTTGTGCTAGGCATTCTCATATAAGCTGATATGCCTGGAAACTGTTGAGACCAGTCATGCTGTCCTAAGAGGCTCAGACCAACTCAACTACCTAAAAAGGACACTCTCCAATGCATTGTACTGTCTGCACATTGTCAAGGGTGCCCCAGGATTCTTACTATCATGAGCTGTTACTCATTTTGAATTTACTGGTGACATAGCTGTCTTTGAGTCATTTCTGCTCCTGTAAGTAACACCTCATCAATATTCCTACAATAAACACAACAGTAAATAAATAAATCCCATTGGCTCACCAAATTGGACTTCAGTTGTACCTGAACTTTGGCCTGGGGTGAGTAGACATTTGTTTCCACCTCCCCAGGAATATTGTCATACAAAGTAGAGGATAGATCCAGCCTACTGTATGTAGGTAGATTCCGCACTGTTACTCTCTTCTTTCTTAAATAGCATTTGGGGATTATATAAATTGAAACCTTAGGTCTATATAAGACAAAATTCTCTGTCTCTGACACATAATTTTCTTCTGTCTTAGTGTGTTTTCTGTTGTGTCAGGACACTACAGATACAGTGTTAATTACGGAAAATAAGTGTAATACATTTCTGCAAGCTTGGGAATCCAAGAACTAATCTTTGGCATTTGATGATATTTCTTTCTGTATCTTTGTTATAGGATGTTGTGGTGGTTAGAGTCAAAGCCAGGTGTTTCCAAACTCTTGCCTTTCATTGAAAGATTTAGGGTAAAGGCTCACACAGATTTTAAAGAAGCAGTGAAACTTTATTTAAAGCAAAGCGACAGTAGAGATCGGAAGGAATATGTGTGAAGAGCATCCGTGGGCCATGTGAGGAAAGGTGCTCAAGGGCCCCGGTTTTTGTTTGCAGTCACTTTCATGGAGTTCAAGAGAAGGAGGAGTTGGGTGCTGAAGGGGACTGACACTGGTTGATCTTTATTTCAACTGATGGGATTAGTTTAGGTATGCATTTACTACCTGTGCATGTACCTTTCCACACAGTATTTTATTTTGATTATATTCACACAATTATACCTAGGAAGAAGTTGGTAAATAGGATATTCATCATAAAAGTTCCCTTTGAGGACACAGGTTGTCTTGTGCAAGTTCCCAAACTAGTCCAGGCTGGATCTGATCATCTTTCTTGGTATCAAAAATGTTCTGTGACATATTTGAATATAAATGTTTTATGAAGGTATTTCTAAGGGCAGTAATCATTTTCATTGTTTGCAACATAGATATTTGCAACCTGATGTATGCGGGTATCCATGTTGCCAATAGTTTTCAGGTATATGTTAGAAGAACATTGTGTGTACACAAGAGATGGAGATATTGGTCTCTGGCTGGGAAGTGCAATTGTGGTTATCAGACAAAAGTGAAGCCTCAAAATGCTAAAATGTACCCCATGCTAGCCTGTCTCATCCCTATGTGCTGGAAGAGCAAAATTAAACAAAACAAACAATAAAAGAAAAACAAGCAAACAGAATTCCCTTCTACAAATGCTTTTCTACTAACATGGATCTATTGATGGCAAATGACTATGAGCTAAACACACTCCATTAAACCCACACTTCCAGGATCCTTAAATATGAAATAAGATATGGATTTCCAAGATGAGAGATGCACTCATCCTTAGCTCTTCCCTCTTCCTGCCTTTATTTCTTCTTTTCTGTGCTCCTTAATCCATGTCAAATTGCTGCCCTATGTGACTATTAATACTGATTGTAAACCTGACGGATCTAGTATCACTTATGAGAATCCTTTGAACACATGCACCAGGGGCTTTCTAGACTTGGTTAAGTCATTTGGAAACACTCACCTCAAGTGAGAGTGGTATTGTTGAATAGGTTCAGGTCCTGAAGTGAATAAAAAGAGAGATACAGAGAGATAGAGAGACAGGGACCAAAACATAGACAGAAAGAGAGAGAGAGAGAGAAAGAGAGAGAGAGAGAGAGAGAGAGAGAGAGAGAGAGAGAGAGAGATCAGCTCTAGAACTCACCTCTATCTGAGTCCTGCTGTAAACAAAAAGTGACCAGCCATCTCACCCTTCTCTACCATTAAATCGTGAGCAAAACCAAACCCACTCTTTCTCCAGTTGCTTAGGTCAGATATGATTTCACAGCAGTGAGAGAAGTAGAAAAAAAACCCAGCAAGACCTTTCTGGGAATCCTGACAAATTTCTTAATTCCTTTATCATAGGGCTTCCTCATTTTGAAGGTTTCCAGTGACATTAGTTCATTCTAGAATTGGAGTTGAGATTCCTTACTGCTGTAGATAGTATTCCTCACTCTTAACACCCAAAATTTGTGGATTCTTTCCTCAAATAATGAATCTGTATAATACAGTCACAATTACTCAGTGAAAAGCATCTGAAAACTTGTCAGGTCCTCAACACACTAATTTGGGAAACTGCACTCAAGGCTGAAATTCATCCTTCTCCTGTGTATTATTAAAGTTTGGTTTTTCTGGGTAGTACACTGTCTATTTGTTCTTGAGCAAGCTTTGTCCTTAAACATTACACTTGAAGCCTGTATCCCACAGTTTTATCAGCAGATCACTAATATTTTATTTTAGAGCAACTTCAAATGGTTTAAAGATATTCCCAAGGAATCACTGCTTTATCGAAAATTGGATTTTTTAAAAGTTATATATATATATATATATATATATCACTTATAGATTAAGAATTATAAAAGTTTAGATACAAAATATAAAATTTAGATAATACAAAAAAGTATAAAGAATATGAGAAAGCACCATTTTCTAGATATAATAGCAGGCAGGGCAGTGGTGGCACTGGGATGCCTTTCATCCCAGGACATGGAAGTCAGGGGCAGGCAGATCCTTGAGTTCCAGGACAGCTTGGTCTACAAAGTGATTTCCAGGTAAGCAAGGACTAAACAGAGAAATCTCCTCTTGAAAAAACAAACAAACAAACAAAAAGCTGGCTTTCATAGGTATGGTATTTCAACAGATCATATATACATTCACTCTCTGGACTTGTTTCTTATCTCCATAAACAGTATCCTTGGCATCGAGATTGTCACAAGTATGGTTCTACAGAGGTTTTCATAACTGAATCAGGATTGAGTGCCTCTCCTTCTGGCATTGATAACCTTAAAGAAGAAAAGATGAGGTCAGAGCAGTTGAAATGCAGATGGTTCACACTTCTCTCTACATTCCTACTCACTGTTTACATTGTAATAGTGGCTGTTTAAGTGTATAATGAATCCCACACAGTGTGTAAGCATGACAAGGATTGTGGATTTTAGCACATTGTGGTCTGATTTGCTCAGGGCATCCTTGGGAACTTAGAGTTTCTGTTCATCATCCTCTGCAACAAAAATATTTGAAATTTAGAGATGAAGACCTCAAGGTTCTTTGTGTTTAGTCTTTGGTCAATTTGGAAAGTCAGTGTTGTGTGATATTTTGTTTGTGTTCTGACAAATAAAGCTTGCCTTCAGATCAGAAGGTGGAGTGAGCCACTAGTTAACCATAGACGCAGACAGTGATGGCACACAACTTTATTCCCAGCATTTGGGATGAAGAAGCAGGAAGATCAGGAGTTCAAGGCCACCCTGGGCTGCAGGAGATTGAAATATATGATCCTTAGGAAGAATTGTATTTCCCAAAGCACACACCTGCATGTAACTGTGCTTCACTGACTTCAGCTGCCATGTATCTTCTCTTGAGGTCAATTCAAAGCTGAAAAGACGAAGTTTATTGCCTGGCTCACAGTTGATACTGGTCAGTCGTCCAGAGACCACCACTTCCATTTTCCCAGTATCATCTTCAATCCCATAGTAAATGAAGTCACCCCTTTCATTTTTCTGAAAAACAAGTTAACAATCATCTTTAGAAATATGTGAAAGCTTTTCACATCTATGAGAAATAAAGAGTGTTAACATAAACCTGTTCCTGACAAGGCAAGTATGGCTCTTAGGTTTAGAATCACAGGTAAAAGGCCAGTGAGATGGCTGAGTGGGTAAGGGTGCTTGTTGGCAAGCCTGATTACCACTCAATTCCCAGGACTTAGAGGGGAAGGAGAGAACTCATTTGTGGAGCTTCTCTTCTGATTTCCACACTACTTTCATGGCCTTTGTGTTTCTCTCAACCCTCACAGACAAAATAAAGGAATAGCTCACAAAATAGAATTACTTGAATGGAAGAGTTTAACATGTTATGGTGAACAAATCTTTTCTTGGAAATCACTCTGGAGGTTTTGTGTGCCTAGCCCTTAATAACTGGCCTATAATTGCAGCCCTTGGAAGCTTCTCTTAAGTTTTACCTACTTGAGGTCTTTATCTGCTGGGTGCCTTTAGAAAAAATGAGTATCTTCCTAAGTACTAGTTGTAACATATCAGAATAGCTGAGATTTCTTAAGGTTCCAAAGTAAGGGATCAAAATGAAAAAAACATAAATACACAGCAAACCCCATTTAGTTACCATTTCAGGTTTCTTCGTTACATCCAGGAGGCTGACAAGAAAAGGCTACTTTTGGCTCATTGTGAGTCTGAGAAACACTATTATAAGTCCTTTTTATTTAATTTATTTTAATTTTTATTAAAAATAAAGTTATTTTCATATATCATATTCTAATCACAGCTTCCTCTACCCTACCTCCTCCAACATAATCCTCTCCTCCCCACTTTTCCAACTCCAACCCTTCTTTCTCTCTCTTTTTTGTCTTTTTTTTTTTAGGGTCTGAGGACTGAACCCAGAGCCTTGTGCTTGCTAGGCAAGTGCTCTACCACTGAGTTAAATCCCCAACCATTTTTCTCTCTCTTTTAAGCAAACAGTCAAATAAAGAAGACAAATCAACAAGAATAAAACAAAATGAACAAACTAACAGACATAAAAAAGAAATAGCATGAGAAACAAATACACAGTCACACAAATAAGACAGTCACACACACATACACACACACACACACACACACACACACACATACATACACACCCCTTCTGTTTAAATGGATCACATTTGCTCAGTGTACACATCGATTCACTCTACTACTTCCTAATCCCTCAAAGGTTAAATACAGCAATATTTCTGGTGTTTTAGTTTGTGTCCCACTTAATTTACTTATTAATTGTGTGACCAATTGTACCAGCACAGTCAATAATAGCATAGATAAAAGGAAAAAGCCATGACTGATTCATACACAATGAATTACAAAATCATACATTGAACAAGCAAGCATACTAATGAATTAGTACATTGACACTTAAAGAAACATTCAAAAGTCATAAAATTCCTTAAATTTCTTCGCTTTCATTGTGCCTATTATAAATTGTGAAATTAAACTAGATTGTTTAACTCCTCTTTCTCTCATTATTTAAAATAGTATTCACTCAGTCAAAAGATCTTGATAAAAAGTAAAGAATGTGATAATAAGGACACATTAAAGAAATAATCCTGGCTTTTTGGACAAGGTTTCATTCTAGGGCAGAATTGTCTATTTGGTTTTTTATTCTCATCATTGCAAACTGTATCTAGTCTATGAGTTTGACTCTTCATTCACAACTGAGTTGCCAATGAGATGGGTTAGGAAACTATCAAAGAAAAAGAATCTAAAAGGGAAGTGTGCTATAAACTGAACAGTGTCTGGGAATAGGATGTCTCTAGATGGATTGTCATAGCCAGGAAAATGCCAAAGGTTATTGATGAACCTCCTTGTAAAGAATTCTCATGGTGGTACCTTGAGGAGAGGAATGGTAAGAGACTATCCCCATATCCAAAGTGTGGAAACCTTACTCATCTCTTTCTGATATGAAAAGTGATTATTTCCTGTGTTAAGTAAGTTGATTGAATTACAGTGCCAAGTTAAAACTTAAAATATCAGAATGGAAAGGCATTCTACGAATAATATAGTGGCTTACCGTAGTTACCACAAACTCTCCATTCACATATGTTCCTTTTGTTTGAGAGAAAAGATCCTTAATTTTAGGAGTTCCATTGGCTCTTCTCCTCAGTGTATTTGGGATAACCAGTGTTTGGTTAGCATTGTCATCAGACACACAGGAAGCTCTATATATCTCCAGAAATCCACTGACGCCAAAATAATCTGATACGGCAATGATCTTTTTTGGGATGAACTTGTTCTTTAGGGTTGTGTCAAAAACCTTCACTCTGAAGAATTCAGTCTCAGTAGCCACTGTGGCATGGAACATCCTTTTTCCATCAATCAAATCATAAGTAAATGGTTCTGTTACTTTCAACACCATCACTTGTATGGGATCTTGATGGTGACCTTCTACCATAGAAGGCTCCTTTGGTAAGTTTCCTTTCTTTGGTGTCTACATAAAACATACAGAGGATAAACATGCATAATTCAACAGATCATAAGGCACAGCTCCACTGAATAGAGTGGAGAATATCTAAACAATGATTCCCATACCTTACCCTAGATAAAGGAAGAAATGGAGATTTACCTATATCACTACTTAGTGGTTCCACTTAATACTAATCATACCTGGTAGATAAATGGATCATACTTGTAGTTATGGGGAATGAACCCAAAGCCTCCATGTTCTAGTCAAGTCTTCTATCTAGGAACATTTTTAAAATTCCAATTACAAAACCTTGTCTAAACCGTCAGAGCTTTCTTGTAAAAGAAAGATGTTCTCAAATATTGTTAATCAGGAATGGTTCAGGCTAGCAGCTCTTCTTTTTTCATAATAGCAGGCATGGAGGAGAATCCTGGGACCAGAAAAAGTCCTGAAGTCATTTTACTTGGATAACCTGCCTCCTCAGTATCCCATTCCATTTCTGAGCATCAGAAGAGCACTATGAAATGGAGGCAAAACTGCAGGGTTGAAAGAAGAAGCATGTTGTCAATCATGGCCAACCTGGGTACCAGCTCAGGGAGGCAGCTATAACTGGTAGCACTTTCTGAAATTTGACTTGGAAACATACAGACTTCACGCTATGGGTGGTAGGGTTTTTTTTTAATTTTTTGTTTTATGTATTTTTTTATAATTTAATTTAATTTTACATATCAGCCAAGGATTCCCTTGTTCTCCTCCCTCCCGCCCCCCTACATTTTCCCTAACCCACCACCCATTCCCATCTCCTCCAGGGCAAAGACTCCCCTGAGTATTGAGTTAAACCTGGTAGATTCAGTCCAGGCAGGTTCAGTCCCCTCCTCCCAGTCTGAGCCATGTGTCCCAGTATAAGCCCCAGGTTTCAAACAGCCAACTCATGCACTGAGTACAGGACCCAGTCCACTGCCTGGATGCCTCCCAGACAGTTCAAGCTAATCAACTGTCTCACTTATCCAGAGGGCCTGATCTAGTTGGGGACTCCTCAGCTATTGATTCATAGTTCATGTGTTTCCATTCATTTGGCTATTTGTCCCTGTGCTTTATCCAACCTTGGTCTCAACAATTCTCGCTCATACAAACCCTCCTCTTTCTCACCACTTGGACTCCTGGAGCTCCACCTGGGGCCTGGCCGTGGATCTCTGCATCTGATTCCCTCAGTCATTGGATGGGGTTTCTAGCATGACAGTTAGGGTGTTTGGCCATCCTATCACCAGAGTAGGTCAGTTCGGGCTGTCTCTTGACCATTACCCATAGTCTATTGTGGGGGTATCTTTATGGATTTCTGTGGGCCTCTCTAGCACTTTGCTTCTTCCTATTCTCATGTGGTTTTCATTTATCATGGTCTTTTATTCCTTGTTCTCCCTCTCTGTTCTTGATCCAGCTGGGTTCTCCCCTCCCCTAAGCTCTCTTTCCCCTTTAACTCCGATTCCTGATCGATGTGTTCTAACTTCAGGAAGTACATTTTCATTATAACTGTTTCAGCAGTTCACAATATGAAAAGAATACCTTGACAAAAAGTTCAAAGTGTAAAATTAAATAAGCAAGTGTCTCACTATACTCCTTACAGAATAGGCATGATCAGGTGATCACTGAGTCAGTTATTTCCTTAATGGAATAGAGTACACAAAGTATTTTAAAGTTGAATATAGGGAAGGATCAGCAACTAAACACAATAAAAATAAGTGATTATTTGCATAAAAGATTATGTGTGCATATAGGTTAATGAAGAAACCTGCCAAGTTTGTGCTAAGTTCTGTCATTATATTGTGAGAAAAGGAAGCTTTACCCTTGATGGACTGCTGCTTGCCTTTGCTGGAGGCACCAGAGGAGCCTGGGGATCACTGAGTGCCATCGCTGGGGACACACATGGATCTAGAAGACTGCTGGATGGTGTTGGTGGAGATCCACATGGAGCCAGGAGACTTTCTGATGCTGTTGCTGAAGGCATCTGAGGAGCATGGACCCTCCTTGATGCTTTTACTCTAGGACAGGGAAGAGCCTGTCCAGTACCATATGATGCTCCTTGAGGCCCTTGAGTGGTGCACACACTTCTGGACTCTTTCTGTAGAGAAGCATGGATAGCCTGAATGAAGTTGGATGCTGTTTCTGATTGTGTTTGAGTGGTCTGGACACTGTTTGTACCTATTGCTCTAGGCACCTGAAGATCTGGAATACTCATGGATGTTGTTGGTAGACTACCAGATGCTGTTGCTGGAGATGCCAATGAAGCCTGGAAATAAACATGTCCTGTTTCTAACGGACCTGGGACATTGACATTCCTAGGTGCTCTTACTGTAGCAGAGTTAAGAGTCTGAATGCCACTGCATGCTGCTCTTTGAGATTCCGGAGTGGTGCTGTCATTTTTGGGTATTGCTTCTGGAAGATCATTGGGAACCTGAATATTGCTGGATGCTGTTGCTAGAGGCATCATTCTGACCTGGGCTTTGCTTTTCAATGTTGCCGAAGGGCTTTTAAGGGTTTGGGCAGGTGTAAATGTAGGTATTGCTGAAGGTACGTGAGGACTATGAGGAGACTTTTTGCTATTGGCTACTGCTGCTGTAGGTAGGTGAATATTCTGGGCATTGCTGGACATTGATATTGGAGCCATCTGAGGAGTACTGAGAGAGCTGGACACTGTTTTTGAAAGCATGTGAGTGACCCAGCTATTACCAGATGCTGTTGCTGAAGGTACGTGAGGAGCCTGGACACCACTGGACAGTACTAGAGGCACTGGAGAATTCAGATGGATGCTGGAGTCTGCTGCTGGAGACATTGGAAAATTCTGGTGAGTTGGTGCTGGAGAGCCTGAAGACATTTTAAAAGTGAAGCATGTTCCTAGAGATCTCAGAGAAGTCTGGAGGCTGTTAGAAGCTGTTGCTGCTGCTGTAACTTCCGGAAGAGTCTGGAGTTTACTTGCAGCTGAGGAGTTGCTGGTTGCTGAAAATTCTGGATGCTGATGTTTTTTCTGGGAAACTTGTATCTCTATGGTACTCTGTTTTTTGATGTTTGTGTTTTTCTGTTTTAAAGGAAAATAGGATTGAGATATTCTCTAATACTGCTTATTGTTTTTTTAAAACAAGACCAAATGCATCTTTTCACTTTCTCTTTTCAAAAGATGACTTTTACCATGTCAGCTTTTTCCTGGGCTGAAGGAAGTATTTGAGAACATACTTAGGTATTTCTTACACCTAGCTTCCACTCTTACTAATCAATATTACAACTTCTCTTAAAAGCCAGGTATTGAATTTTCACTGTTCTGGGATAGAATACTAGCTCAAAGTATCTTACAATACTCTTCAACTATTACTTGGTCTGGTTCAACTTTTAATGTTATTTTGTGGGAAATGAAGCTTTTAGTAAAATTGGCTATTCCTGTACTTTTTCTCAGGTAGACTTTCTAATCCATCAAATATTCAAACCTTGTTGTCCACAGAGAGATCACACTCCACACTTTCAGGTGATGTGATTGAAATTGTGAGACAAATACCATAAATAAATGGACCACATTGATGGGTTTTGGTGGATGGGAATGTAGCTCAGTTGACAACGTGGAATAGCATGGCTGAAGCCCATCCAGACTAATTTAAACCTGTATTTAGGTCTTTAAAATGACTATAAATCCAGTTAAATAAAACTTCTACATATGGGAGAAATACTTGTACATAGGCAGCAGATCTAGTTAGGGTCTTCATTACACTTTTATAATCTTAGAAGTATAAAAATTGAAATACTATAAAATTTTGAAATGCTAAGGTAAGTTAGTTGGTTTAACTGTAATGGCCATTTTTACTGTTTTTGTTTTATGTTTTTGATTGTTCAAAGTAAAAATTCTTCTAAACTGCAACAATTGCTATAAAGCTGATTCCTTTCATGCTAAAATTATTACTAACTGTAGCCTATTTTCCAGGCTTGTATACATTTTGAATTATATTGATGTCATCATTAACAAACATGGTTAATTATATGTGGCTAAGGAGTTCCCATGCTAAATAACAGGACTCTACTGGTTAAAAAGATTAAATGCTGGTCACATAGAGTGTTCAACACAATTGTACCATGCAATAAAATAAGGAGATGTGTGTACATTGCAGTTAGGATCTCAAAATACATGCATGATATATATATATATATATATAAAATTAAGTACATGATTAAGAAATTAGAAGAGAAGTTCTTATAGGGTTATGATTTTTGTAATTATATTAAAAGGGCATCAAAATGAGAACAGGAAGCCATTCCCTTTGATGAGGAATGGCTGAGAGAGTTTGGTGGATGCCTGGGAGGGTCTGAAACTGACACTTAGCAAAAGTGACCATTACAGTTATACAGTATTTGGTCAGTGAATGGACATGGATAAAGACTTCCAAGCAAAGAAACAGAATGTGTCAAAACATCTGCTGAGAAGAGCATAGAATGGTGAAAATAACCCCTGAAGTTGGGTCACCAGCAAAGGGAAAAGGTCTGAGAAGAAACTAGGCAATGGGGACTGATACATTCTTGTGTTAGTCCCTGTCTGTCTCCCCTCTTTCTTTTCTGAACCCTAAGCAGAAAGTTGGTTGACAACATTAGAAATCATTTCATCAATGCTTACCTTTTCAATACCACAGAGGCTGTGATACATGATTACATAACTTACTAAGCTATTTAATAATAAGAGGAAAATCTTTGCTGTAGGGGATCAGTGAGATGTTTTTCCAAGGTTGTGGTGAGCCCAGAGACATGCTTTGGGAAAGGGCAAGCATTGGGAATAGGAACGTGGTACCTTGTTTGAGGAACTGCTGGATGGTGTTGGGGGAGGCTTATGAGGAGTCTGGAGACAACATTCATCTTTTTGTGGGTTGCTTCCTGAAGGCGCTAGAAGCTGAGTCTGCTCCTGGGTAAGCTTCATTTTCTTGCCACCTTCAGTTTTTGTGGTTTGTTTTCTCTTTTTCTAAAAGAACAATGTTTGTCTTTCCTTATTGATTTTCCCATGTGTTGGAAATTGAACCCCAGGCTTTGTACATGCTAAGTTGTACTTTTCCATATGGTTTTTATCTCCAGCCTTAGTAATGTCTTTAGTATTAAGTAAAGCATAATATTTCAAGGACTATAAGAATCTTAGTTTTATTAATGGATTCTAATTATATTTGCGTCATTGTGCACACCTCATTCTTAACAGATGGATCATATGGTATGGTAGTTTGAATAAGATTGATCCCCACAGACACATTGATTTGAATGCTTGGTCATCAGAGAGTCTCAGTATTAGCAGATGTGTCCATGTTGGAGTAGGTGTGGTTTGTTGGAGGAAGTGTGTCACTGAGGGGTGGGCCTTGAGATTTCAGATGCTCAAGCCAGGCCCAGTGCCACTCTCTCTTACAGCTGCCTGTGGAGATGTAGAACTCTATACTATCTCTCCAGCACAATGTCTCTTTGCACACTGACATGCTTCCTACCATGACAATAATGGACTAACCCTCTGAATGTAAGCAAGCCCCATTTAACTGTGTTTTTAAAATAAGAGTTGCTGTACTCATGACATCTCCTCAAAGCAATAGAAACACTAAGTCATACAGAGTTGTCTCATAGAGGAGTAGAAAAATTACATTTATCTCATCCTACTTATCCCTGATGTGGCAGAATAGTATTAAGTGTAGAATTACAAAGTCCATATTTAATTTAATCTTTTTAAAAGCCACATCCATCCCAAAGCAACTGCTATTTCAATAAATGGTCTTTTAAAAAGCCACATGGTGATTTTTATGTTTGCATCCCTGGGGGTTGTACTGCACGAGTTAGAGACATTATATATCTGACACTGAAGGAGTGACAGGTCCTTATGAATTTGTTGACTTAGAACCTGTTCTCACTAGAGCCTTGGACTAGATAGATAGAGTACTGAATCTTCCTAAAGAGTTAAGAAGGGGAGGAACCTGGGGAGAAGCTTTTTGGTGGGAGACCAGCCACCTTACCTGTGCAGAGGGTTTGCTCATGTCTGATTCATTATCGGTGGAAAGAGATTGGGAACTACTGGGTTCTTCTTGCTTTCCTTTTTTCACTATAGTTCTGTTTTTTCGTTTCTTTTCCTTCTTAACTGCAGGGACAAAGAAAACACAATAAATCCAGGGAAGTGGTTAAGATGGCTGAAGCTCATTCAGAATTATTTATTTTCTGTTTTTAAATTAAATTGATAATTTATTCCATTTTAATTAATAATTTTATAGAAAGATAATGATTTCATGTTGTTTTTTAAAAAAACCTCAATCATTCAATTTTTACCAATATTCACAGGTCTCCTTAACTGGGCCTCCTTATGCTGAATTCTCAGGTAAGAGTTGTGTACCAGTATACCCAATATTTTTTAAACGCAGTGACTTTATAAAGAGAAACTTCATATCTCTAAAGTGCAGGTTCTACTTAAATATTAGATCACATTTCCTACCAGAAAAGATATTAATGAATGGGTAAGATTGTTAATTGAGTATTAAATTTACTCTATTTATTTGTTTTAAGTGATTTTTTTCATTGTTCACTTTGTTATTTTATGGTTTTACTACCATGTTGGGTATTCTAATCTGTCTCAACAACTGCTTTTTATTTTATTTACCTCCAATGTAAAAGAAATTTACCTTGAAATATACCATATTTCTTTGTGAGAAAGCTTTTCTTGAAATCAACTTGACATCTGAAATGCTTCAACCCCCGTAATGTCTAAGGCAGACAGTGGTATAGTGACACATCAGCTCTGATTGCTGCAGGAAGCCAGAAAGTTAGAGGAGGGTTGAGAAGGGATGAGTGCCCAGGGTGTTTCCATGTTACCTTTTGCCTTCTCTGTTTTAAGTTTTTTAGCAAGGTCTTCAAGATCATTCATGCTTTCACACAAATTTATCAGCAGGTCCAGTCCAGCATCTTTTGGGATTTTTTTCTCCATCAGGTCAGCCATCTGAATTCTGTCATAATTCTCTTGCATCTCTTCAGTTAGATTTAGTTTTTTTCTTAGTAAGGACTTGATTGTCCTAAACTGGTAGTCATTCAGACCCTCTAATCCTTTTAGAAGAACAATTGTCTTGTATTCACTCATTATTTCTAAAATTATGGACAATCCTAAAAGATGAAAATGGACATATGATTACAAACATTTACAGACAATCCCCAAACAAGCATATTCCTTTGTGAGTAGATGACTCCTATTGATAATGTCCATAATTACATATGAGAGAAAAAGAGTCAATTACAAGCTGTGCCATTGTGCAAAATGTGTGTAGAACTTTTGTTCTTTTGTTGTATTAATAAACAAGCCTAGGATATTCTTCCCTATTAGCCATGTTAGGTGACTTAGGCCAGTGGCAATTGTGGTGGAAGAAAAGTGTTTGAATCAGTAATTGTTGAAGTGTTTAAAGTCTGGGCTATGAGTGTTAATATCTTGGATTCTATTTCCATTCTTATATCCAGCCTGTCCCTGGATATCTGCCTGTGAATTTCTGATTTTTCCCATTCTAAAGTGACCTATATGCAAATGGAACTGCATTCTATTACATTGTACCTGGATGAGCAATGACTTAAGTCACATGACCATGATGAGCCACTGACCCTTGTCCACTAGGCTTTGCCTCAAACACCCCTCATTAGCATCCTGCCTCTCCTGGGCTTGGATTGTGATCTTTGGGCCCTTTGTGCTCATATCACTGTCAATTTCTCAAACATCTACATACTTTTCAGAGCAGCACCCTAGAATTTATTGGATGGAATTGTGTCAGTAGTTTCCTCATTTTGTCATTTCAGGATTGACTTAGTGATTCTATTTGTTTAGAGACACAATTTTTACTTCCATGTCATGCTTAAATCCTACCTAGATCTTTTAATAGTTTTCCATATTATTAAAAATATTCCTTCCTCCTAAAATATACTGGAAGTCCTTGAATAACCTGTACTCTTCCATTTATGTTTATTTTTATTCCTGAGATCATATGCTTCAAAATATATAAAACATACTCTTATTGTCAAGGTTTATGGTATGTCTATTTTCTTTTTCATTGCTTGGAAGGCCATTTTAACATTTTGTTGTCTGTCTACTTTTAATAAACTTTGAAAACTTAAGAATTAAATAATGTTGGTAATGGGAGTGTATGGTAGTAGAAGATGTAAACAAAGGAGTTACTATCACTAATTTATAATTCTAGAACTAAGATGGAAACCTATTGCTGTAGGAACTTACATACACACTATCTATCCATCCTTACATCCACCCATCCATCCATCCATCCATCCATCCATCCATCCATCCATCCATCGACCTAGCGACCCATCCATCTACCTGTCTGTCTGTCTATCCATCCATCCATCCATCCATCCATCCATCCATCCATCCATCCATCCATCCATGTATCTATCTATGTATCTATGTATCTATCTATGCATCTATCTATGTATCTATCTATGTATCTATCTATGTATCTATGTATCTATCTATCTATCTATCTATCATTTATCTTTCTCTCTAAATACAAATCAATCAAAAATTTACATGAAGTTATTCCACAATATATCAACAGTATTTCTACTAGACACCTCAGTTTAACAAAAAGCTCAGTGGTAGGAATGAATTTGCTCTCTTGAAGTTATTGACCAGTCAGTTCTCATAGACTCCCAACTGACATTGCCCTTGGGTACACTCCAGAACTTTATGGTAAGACTCTATTGCAGAAGATACCACATTCTTGAGTCACAGAACATGGAGAAATGTGGTGGTATTGTGTTCCCCAAAATATTGTGCACCCTAATAAATTTATCTGGGGTCAGAGACAGAACAGCCACTAAATACAAAGGCTAGAAAATGGTGGCACTCACACCTTTAATCCTAGCATTCCAGAGGCAGAAATCCCTCTGGATCTCTGTGAGTTCAAGGCCACGTTGAAAACTGCCAGGCATGGTGACACATGTTTTTAATCCCAAGAAGTGAACCTTTAATCCCAGGGAGTGATGGCAAAAACAGAAAGATATATAAGGTGTGGAGACCAGAAACTAGAAGCATTTGGCTGGTTAAACTTTTAGACTTTTGAGCAACAGTTCAGCTGAGACCCATTCTGGATGAGGACTCAGAGGCTTCTAGTCTGAGGAAACAGGATCAGATGAGGAACTGGCAAGGTGAGGTAGCTGTGGCTTGTTCTGCTTCTCTGATCTTCCAGCTTTCACCCCAATAATTGGCCTCAGGTTTGTTTTTATTAAGAACTTTTAAGATTCGTGCTACAGAGAAATGAACTTGATACTCACCTGGAAGCCTCATCCCTACTGACTAGATTTTCCAAATCTAGGAAGTACTAGGCACAGTACTGGAGGAGTAAAATAATCATTAACCTTCCTCAGTTGTGGATTCCTGCAGGTAAAGTAACAACCCGTCTTGCAACATGCTCAACAGAGCAACAGTGCCATCAATGTTGTGGGTTAACCATCTATTTTGTGATTTGACCTAAGGCCTGTATGAGTGGAAAACCATACTTGACACCTTTACTGAGACTGGAAACCTGCGATTAGACTCCTAATAGTTCCTAGTGGAGAACCTCCTAATTTTATACTGCCAAATATGAGTAGAATTAAATTTATTATTATGTCCATAGGTCTTTCAACTCCCATCATAGAAATTTGTAAGGAAATTTATTAGTCACAAAAATTAGAAAATTAGAAACAACAAAATTTGGCTTTCTGGAAATTCCCAAAATTCCCCAGTGGACCTAGCATCCTGCTTAGTACCTCACTCACATTTTATATACTCCCTTGATGGTCTTCAGAGAATGTATTAAGTCCAACATTCTGATTTAATGTTTGTCATCTCAGTTTGGGAATTATGCCTGTATGGACATCAGTTTAGTTGGGTACTAAATTTCTAGGGCTGTCAACTGCTTCCTTTTTTTGAGAAAAATTGAACATCATCCATGCTCAAAGAAAACCAAGGGTGAATAGAATATTCACACAAGGACACATGATAGGGAAGTGAAGAATTTAAGAAAAAGACATACTCTGTAAACCGTAAGACATTAAAAAAAAATAGATCATCTAGATATTCAAGAGGGAGATTAAAACTGATTCTCAACAGTAAAACTCCCTTCTTCAGAGCAGCATTCTAATTTCTGTACAATACTAATCTCCAGATCCCACAGAAAATTAAAACAGAAAGCTTTTATTTGAGTTGGTACTTCTGAAAACACAACTATTTCAAATACAACCAGATATGTGATGACAGAGCCTTTGAGTAATTTGATGGGTTCCATTCTTATGAGATCATTCCTTTTGTTTTTAAAATGTTGTTCCTTTTGAATGTGGACTAATCATCCCAACCTCAGTAGAATTTCTAGTATTATATAACATAGCATACATGCATCAATGTCGTCTATGCCCCTAGATTCTGGATATCAATATGTGTTCATCCTCACTGCTAAAAAGCTAAACACTTTAAATTTTCAGTCTCTTTATAACACCCAAATTCTCTTCCAAATTTCAAAGCTCTCAAAAATATCTAAAGTCTCTAGAATTCCAAAGTCTTTAAAAATTTAAAGTATCTCAACAGTGAGCTCTTACAAAATAAAAAATGAGTTACCTACCTTGTTATCCCAAGAGGGGAAAACCTGGTCATAATTATATTCACAACAAAGCAAAATCAAAATTAAAGAATGCAAAAGATTCTCTGATCTGCAAAGGGCCTTGGCATCTCCCCATCTCTTGCTCTCCCATCCAAGTACACATAGTGGTTCTCCTGTGCTTTAGCTACCTCCCTTGACACCTGCTGCTATTCTTAGTGGCACCCCAATGTACTCACATCTCAAAAATTCTGGGGTCCTCATTGACCTGGGTTTTGTCTTCACCACAACCTTTCATAGCCTTTCACAGTGACAAGCCTCAGCTATTCCCTATGACCCTCTCATACCTCCAAAACCAGTACCAACTGGGTGAGTCTTTCACCTTACAGAGTTTGGTTGTCAGCACAAGGGACAGCCTTATCCCCCTCTGGGCCATAGCTTCCACTTCCATGTGCTGACAGAGAGAAGATACTTCCCAGGTTAAACCTCAACAACGCCAGTCTCTTCTCAATCTCATCCAGTTTTTGAGTCCTAGCTGACCAGAATCACAGATTCGTAATTCAAAATATTGAGTGGCCTCAGTAGATTCTTTATGTGACTCTCAATCTTTCTTCTGAAATTTCCAAGCCCAGCCTCAATCATCTGCACTGCCCTCTGCATTATCTTGTAACTTCCCCAAATAGTTCATTTTCTCTAAACACTCATTTGCTTTTATGTCCCAATGCTACAAAGTTCTTTCATAATCATTCCTAAAACACAGTCAGGTGTGTCACAATAATGTCCCACAAACCCAGTCCCAATTTCTGCCTTAGTTACAGGTTCTATTGCTGGAATAAAACACCATGACCAAAAACAATTTGGGAAGAAAGGGTTCATATCATTTTATACTTCCATATCACACTCCTTTATTGAAAGAAATTAGAGCAGGAACTCAAGGCTGGAACCTCGAGGCTGGAACTGTAACAGAAGCCATCAGGAAGAGTGATTTCTCATTTGATCCTCATGGCTTGCTCAGCAGTGAGGACCACCTGCAATGAGTGACACTGCCCCCAATGGGTTACACACTCACATAAATCATTAATCAAGAATATGCCCTACACCATTTCTTTTAGGCAATTTTGAAGGAAGCGTTTTCTCAACTCGGCTATTTCAGCCCAGATAATTAGATCTTGTGTCAAGTTGAAAAAAACAAAAACAAAAAAAACAAAAAAACCACCAGATATCTTTTTAGAATAAGATAATAGTTTAAATGTTGGATTTATATACCAATAATAGTGTATGGTATTTCTTAGTATTTTATGTTTCTTGATAGGACCATAATAAGTAACAACATGGAACATATTTTGTTCCAAAGGTGCAAATGCACACATATCTTCTTCATATGTATGTGCAAGAGCTTAGTCATCTATGAATTTCATAAAACCCACAATATTTCAATAGATACTGCAGTATATTTCTCAATTACTATATTAATGTTATAAACATCTGCAAAAAATTTAGAATGTTTGAG